TTTTATTGTTATTATTATATTATTATATTATTATATTTTAACTTCCGTATAATCGTCTCCGAAGTCTCATCTTACATTTCAAATACATTTAATTCTTTTGTGTTAATTTGCATTTTAAAGCAGTTGTTCACGTTATTTTAGGCAATTTTTCATTTTCAGAGTGATAAACGAACTACAGCATTTTTTATTCTCTTTTTCTTTAAAATGAAAACTGTAATTTTCTTGATTACAGTGCTGCAGATTTCAATATAGAGTAGCTGTTTAGAACAGAATTATCGCTTCAATATTTAGATTTTTCATAATTAAATAATTATTTGAAGTTTTAATTTGTGTTAAAGTTTCGTATAAACATCCCTTAAATAAATCTAGAAAGCCTGGTTGGAACAAGTTGACCCTATTTCTACCTCTCCTATTCAATGTACTGTACATGTGCTTGTACACTAGCTTAACGCGGCAAACTATTCTGACGCAAGGTATTGCTTTCTTTTTATGTATATGCACTTTTTATTTATTGGAATGGTTACCCTTTAAAGCTGGGTGTCAGTTTATCTTGATTTTTGCTTTTTTTATTAGAGAAATATCAGGGAAAAAGAAATAATTTTTCAATTTTTCCTGGTTTTTTTTTATGATTTTTGATGTTTTCGCTTTTTGATTGAGTTTTATCTTTTCTTTTTTTCATATGATACATCATCCGATCTTTTGAATTATAACTTTAATAAATACAGAGAATAATCTGAACCACAGAGACGTAGTTCAACCCCTTCTCTTGTGCGCCAGTTCTAGCTAAACCACGTCTGCGCGGTTGAACCATGTCTCTAATTATTCATTAACTCGTCTCATTTAACTGTTTTGAAATTTTGACACCCTTCATATTAGGTTTTATATTGTTTCAAATTGAAGAATTGAAATATGAAAAATTGACCTTTTTCAAAAATCTACAAACATAAATACTTGAGTACAGCGACATATTTTTTATGAGGGTGGTTTAAAAACAATCCTTCCCCTGTATTCGCCCCTCATTGCATTACTTACCCTTGATGAATAAATAAATAAATTAAAAACAATTAAAAAAAGTAATTTTGACAAAAATGTTCTGCAGTTCTCTTGTTGTTAAGTTGTTTCATCTTCTTCAGAACACAAAACCTCCTTCAACGCTTCCAGGTTCGTTAAAGGGACTGTAAGCGTAAATTGTAGTGACCCTCCTTGCAGAGATGGCAAGATCAAATTTACATCAATACCCTTGTAGCAACTTGCAAGCATTGCGCCGAGAGAATTAACACAATGAAAATAAACAGTTTAAATAAACAAAATATGCATACTTCATTCTTACGTGATCAGACAAAGCTTTCAAGGGTACTGTTGTGAATCGGGCATTGCCATCTTTTCATGGAGGGTCACACGCTAACAGTCCCTTAACAAAAATCTTTTCAACTTTTATTGTTTAGATTTTATTCTCATTTTCCAGACCTTATTATAGTTTTTAATCACTATGCATTAGTCAGACAATAATAAATACTTTGAACGTTTATGTATATATAGATGATTTAAAGAGTGAATCAACATCTTTTTCAAGCACATTCTATTTTTATTTTTACCCTTAATGATGTTAATTTTTTAAATGTAATAAATTCACCAACTACAATGAGACCTAGCACTGCACGCTTTGAAATAGAAAGACGACATTTAAGCAAGCTTATGTGTTTTAACATACCTAATACATCAACCTATTATTTGAAATGGGTCGTGATAGCTGCACAATTGCTGTGGTACATATTTATTGGACTATTTGATACCCGAGTCGAATCTTCTACAGTCGCATATATACTTTTCTTCTCTGTCTGTCTGTTTGTCCGTTTGTATCCAATAAACGTCAAAACGGCGGAACCGATCGGGCCCAAATTTTGTGTGGGACCTCACGTGGCCCCTTGAAGGTTTTTGAATGATTAAAATTTCAAAAATTGGCCTACAACAACTTTTTCTTTGAGAAAATGTTATGTTAAAAAAAGATGTAGCATTTTTACATGAAGTCGTTTTTATATTTTACTTTCAAAAATAATTTTGAATCTCCTTCTGAATAAATTCTGCAATGCTGCTGTAAAAAGTAAAGTTCAATATTTTTATTTATTTATTTGTTTCCCCGACCTAGGTCTGGAGTAAGATACTGACCAGGTTCAACTCCGGGTTGAAGACGGACCAGTATGAAAAACTGTACTCGGAGAAAACCAAAATAGAACTGGTTGCAATATTTGTTTTTATAGCAAGGTAATTAAACATCTCTTCCTGTGAACTGGGAACTCAGAGCTGAAAACTTTAGAATGGTGGATATCGGGATTAATGCTTGATCCTCTCTTTTTGATAATCTCAAGATTAACATAATCTTCCAAGATTATCTTAAAAGTGTATGAAAAACTGTTATCATCAGAGAAACTGTAGCAGCCAATCAGAGAAAAGCGGACAACCAATGAGAGAACAGAAATATTCTCATTGGAGAAAACAATTAACGGATATCCAAGGAGAGAGAAAAAGAGTGGATTAGGACAAAAATGAAAAGTTTCCACAGTGTATATTCGGATTAAGAAGTCAGGATTAAAGTTTATCCATTCTAAAGTTCCCAGCTCAGGTTTAATTTGTATATACGGCCTTCAGAGGCGTTTACGAGGGGGGAAGAGGCCCCCCCCTTGGAAAACATCCTGTGTACATCCATGACGGACAGACTATTACGGTCTTTCTTTGATTTATCTGGCTGTTTTGATTGAACATAGAATTTGAAAAATATACTATCCCTTTGGTTGGTTAGTTTCAAGTCTTTTACTGTATTTAACAAGATTAAAATATGTGATTAACAAATTAAAAAGAAAATTAAAAACCTATTTTCAGTTTTTTCCTCTGCGATTCTGGCTGTGATTTAATATTGTTCTGTGCGGCTAGCATCCTTAGTATTTTATTAGGTAAATCACTATTTTAATCAAGAATATTTTATCACTTCATCTCTTTATGTATACACAGGGTTACCTGCAACGATTAAGACTTCTAACCGATAAATAAGCCATTAAACAACTATATATAAGGCAAGAAGACTTAATTGGGAATCATTATATCTCTAGAGTTTAAAGTTTCAGGTCGTCTTTACAATCTCATTCTCTGCGGGTAATCCTGTAATCTAGATACATGCAAACATTAAACTAAAAGTTGAACTCGAGAAGAGACTAGGACTACTCTATCTATCTATCTGTATAGTTGTATATGAGAAGAGACTAGTATTACTATATCTATCTATCTGTATAGTTGTATATGAGAAGAGACTAGTACTACTATATCTATCTATCTGTATAGCTGTATATGAGAAGAGACTATGGACTACTATATCTATCTATCTGTATAGCTGTATATGAGAAGAGACTAGGACTTCTCTATCTATCTATCTGTATAGCTGTATATGAGAAGAGACTAGGACTACTTTATCTATCTATCTAAATAGTTATATATCACGTGGATTTAACGGTTCTGTCAATATTTCAGAAAACTGTGACTTTCGATCACAATATGACCCCTTTTACATAATTTCATAGCCTTTTATCTTAAATACTTTTTTGTTGGCAAATACATTTTGCATGAAAAAGTATAAAATAAACAAATCTGTAAGTTTAAAGACTGTTTAGTTATAGACGAAAACACGTTTGATTTCAAATAAAAGAAACCGAATGCTTCTCTCTATCGTTAGTTCAGGGTGATATGAGAAGAGACTAGGACTACTCTATCTATCTATCTATCTATCTATATATCTATATAGTTGTATACGAGAAGAGACTAGGACTACTCTACCTATCTATCTATATCGCTATATTGACTGGAAACCAGAGTATTAGTGAGAATATTACAGTATCAGGTATTATTATTATTATTATTATTATTATTATTATTATTATTATTATTATTATTATTATTATTATTATTATTTTTATTATTATTATTATTATTAGTATTATTATTATTAATGGTCAACCCGTTCTTCAATGAAGAATTGGGGGCTACTCTCCTCCATTCTGAAGCAAAACATACAAAAATGCATAAAGCAAGAATCGTTTTTTTCAAATTCAAAGAGATTTTTTTAGATCCTAAAAGTTTATTGTTCTGTTCTCGAGTACTGGCTGGGGCTGTAGTTTTAATATCAACAGGTTTCAACGGTAAATATCCTATTATTCTTTTTTCTTTAAAGGGACTGTTAACATAATTTCAAGCGACCTTCTATTCTTATTCACAACGGTACCCTTAAAAGCTTTGTATGATTAAGAAAATTCATGGTTATCCATTTCTCTTTTTTTTAAATTTGATTATTTTTAAATATGGTTTCAATAATGGTTTCTCTATCAATTGACTTGCGGATTTATGCTTACAGTAACGATGAAGTAAATATTAATCAGTTTTCAAACTAAAACAACGACAGTATTTTCTACATTATTGATAAAGGTATAAGGTTTACCACTGTGAATTGCAGGCATGCCACCCCCCTTTTTTAATTGGGATCACTTGAAATGACAACAACAGTCCCTTTAATTACAAAATATTTTAAATTGTTCTTATAATAATTTTGTCCAGGTCTAATTTCTTTGGTTTGGTTGAATTTATCCTACATCGCTCACTTAGAATCTAACCTGGAGAAATCTCCATCCTCTTCGTCCCGAATCATCAGTGTTGAAAGATACCTGGATCTAAACCTAGTTCTAATCCTAGGGTTTATCTACCTTCTCTATCTAGCATTCAAAACAAGGGTAAAAACAGATAATATTTTTAAGTGAAAACGCTGTAAAAACATTATTAAGATATTTCTGGGTTTTAGATTTGAAATAATTTAAGAAATAACTCAACCTCCTGACTATGCTTTATCAAAATATATATGTTCTGAATTTCAAAAATACCAATTATGTGATTTAATTGTTACAGTGCTAACCAGAGCCCGCGATTTAAAAACTTCGGCTCGAGCCGTAATTCCTTAAACCTGACTTGAAGACCCAATCTTCGACCCAACTCTGACGACAGCTTGTGTCACGTGATTGACAGCTGCGAGATCTTAGGCTCGACTTAAGGAGTAAAGCCCAATGAAAATAAAACTGACCTTGGTTGGTTTTAGTGGAGAATAAGGCTCAATGTTGGGTCTTCTTCTCATCAAAACCCGGAATGCCAATTCCAACTATGAAAATCCGCCAAATGCAAAATTAAACCGGTTTTATGAACTATACTCTGTTGAAAATTAGATGCAACTTAAATCCGAAAGCCCGAGCCGTAAATAAGGCTCAACAACAGCTTAGACCCGAGTCGTATTTTATTGAATTTTTTAAATCGCCGACTCAGGAAACGCTGGAGTAGAAAGTCGACTTTAGACTCAAGTTATGACTTTGAATTGTCAAATGAGCATGAGAAATAGGAAAAGTGAACAGACCCATTTCACTTAAGAAATGATTTAATAGCTTCCTGGTAAAGCTATTTGCTTTGAGACAATATCAAGTGTTCTTCAGTATTCCTTCAATTCTTTTTCTACAGCTTTCTGGTTATCACTGTAGAAAATTTATCTTTTTCAGAAAGGAAGATTGATTTTGCTCTGTCTTTTATTTCTGAAACTTGGTTCAGTGCAACATCATGATCGAGAACAGTCCAGGTTACAAAAAAATTTAAAACACAAGAAAAGTAGTCTACCAGCCTAGAAAGGTGAACTACTTCTAGATCTTAATATAGTCAATAAGTTTAAAGATAGTTTTTTAAAGTCTATTTTCTATTTAGAGCTGTATCAGAGCTAACATGGTTGCAGTATGAACAAAACTGTCTTCAGTCGTCTTCAATCAGGTAGTTCAGGTAGTTCAGGTAGTTCAGGTAGTTTAGATAGTTTAGGTAGTTCAGGTAGTTCAGGTAGTTCAGGTAGTTTAGATAGTTTAGGTAGTTTAGGAAGTTTAGATTTTTCAGGTAGTTTAGGTAGTTTAGGTAGTTTAGGTATTTCAGGTAGTTCAGGTAGTTTAGGTAGTTTAGGTAGTTTAGATAGTTTAGGTAGTTTAGGTAGTTTAGGTAGTTCAGGTAGTACAGGTAGTTTAGGTAGTTTAGGTAGTTTAGATAGTTTAGGTAGTTTAGGTAGTTTTGGTAGTTCAGGTAGTTCAGGTAGTTCAGGAAGTTTAGGTAGTTTAGGTAGTTTAGGTAGTTTAGGTAGTTCAGGTAGTTCAGGTAGTTTAGGTAGTTTAGATAGTTTAGGTAGTTAAGGTAGTTTATATAGTTTAGGTAGTTTAGATAGTTTAGGTTGTTTAGGTAGTTTAGGTAGTTCAGGTAGTTCCAGTTGCTCAGGTAGGTTAGGTAGTTTAGGTAGTTTAGGTAGTTCAACTAGGTTTTGTAATTTAGTTAATTTTAATCCAACAGCTGTATTTTAATCCAAGAGCTATATTTTAATCCAACAGCTGCGTTCTAATCCAACAGCTGTATTTTAGGCCAACAGCTGTATTTTAATCTAACGGCTATATTTTAATCTAGCAGCTATAATTTACTACGATAGCTGTATTATAGTAAATCAGCTATATTTGACTACAAAAGCTGTATTTCAGTACTACAGCAACATGCGAGCACTACAGCGGGCTGTTGGTTGGATGGAGGGGAGAAGTTGAAGCTGTTGTGATCCACAGCAGACACAACATCATTCAACAGCTTGTAAATCTATTACCTAGGGTAATTTAATGTTGATTTTATAACTTATGGAATGTTGTCAGGAGGGATATTTGGGGAAATTAGTTCAAATGCATTTATTTTTCAATGTCTTTTGTCCAATATCATAATCTATCTTCTTCATGCGCACATAGCACACCCTTCCTAAACCAGTATGTTCAGAAAAATGTTGTAGTGTTCCATATTAAAGTCTTAATTTCCTTTCTACATCATAAATCAAAAACCTTTTCTTTATTTTTAGGTCGTTTTAGAAAATATACCAATGACTTGCTGGTTTGGTGACAAGTATAAAAACTGTACTCAGAAACCTACACAAACTGCAAGGTTAGCATAGAATCTGAAACCTTCACAAACTGCAAGGTAAGCATAGAATCTGAAACCTACGCAAACTGTAAGGTTAGCATAAAATCTGAACCCTACACAAACTGCAAGGTTAGCATACAATCTGAAACCTACACAAACTGCAAGGTAAGCATACAATCTGAAACCAACACAAACTGGAAGGTTAGCATAGAATCTGAAACCTACACAAACTGCAAGGTTAGCATACAATCTGAAGCCTACACAAACTGCAAGGTTAGCATACAATCTGAAACCTTCACAAACTGCAGGGTTAGCATACAATCTGAAACCTTCCCAAACTGCAAGGTTAGCATACAATCTGAAACCTTCACAAACTGCAAGGTTAGTATACAATCTGAAACCTATACACAAACTGCAAGGTTAGCATACAATCTGAACCCTACACAAACTGCAAGGTTAGCATAGAATCTGAAACCTACACAAACTGCAAGGTTAGTATACAATCTGAAACCTACAGAAACTGCAAGGTTAGCATAGAATCTGAAACCTACCCCAGCTAAAATGAAATATTTTTTTAAGTATTAATTAATAATTTTCAAATTTGGGTTTTCCATAAAAGGAATTTGCGGATGTACGCGTTAGAGACAATGAAGAAAAATGCAGCCGTCAACATTTTTACAGATAGTAAAAACGATAATAATTACTTATTATTACTCAAATAAAGGTTTAAATAATACTGCTGGGAATTGGACATGCCCATCTATAAAAAGGGGGTAACTTAAAATTATATATAAATTATTAAAAAAATTATGTATATATAAATTAATTATAAATCTGCATTTCTGCCTTGCTATGTTAAGCATTTAATATGTAGTGTACATAAAAAGTATAAGAACACTGTATATTATAACATATATATATATTATATATATATATACAGGGATCTGTGCAAGTATAAATCTACTTCCTCTGACCCTGTCCAGCTTTGCCATCTAGAAGCATACTCCAGGAACAATAACATCAAAATATTTTAATAACCATAAAACTATAATTTTGGTGAACAGTGCTGTGCAGAATTTGAAAAGAAGTTTTCTTTTAATCAAAAATGCTCAAGTCTTAATGCTCGAGACAAAAATACGAGAATCTTTATGATTTAGAGAACAAAATACGATCAAATTTTTCTGTATTATATTGCCCATTTTACAGAAATAAAATGCTGTTATAAATACGCATATCCATATTGTCCATAGTCCATGAAATATCTCATTATACTCTATTAAATGTCATATTTACACTGTAAATATGTAACGTCTAATCAATGGTCTGCTATGATCTATGAAATGTCCTGTATATGGTCCATGAAATTTCTGAAATTTTGGAACTTTTTGGTCTCCCCCCCCACCCCCTAACTGTGAATTATACTTACTACGTGGTGTGATGTTTTCTGGGTATAGATACGAGTACATGATAACTCTAAGGATGGAGAAGGGGTTGTTCTCCAGGTTATAGATTATGCAAAAAGAATTAAAATAGATTTTTTTAACCTACAGCTACTCCTGGGGTACCCATTGGTTCCCTCTAAAAATTCGGTCCAAAATGTCTTTCCCTCTTTGTACTTATCAAGTACAAATATTTATATACAAATAAATCCATAATTATTAGTTTAACCATGTTTATTAACTGAAAAGGAGCAATCCGAAACAATTTGTATTAATAATATATACAGTACAGTGTTTTCCAGCTTATACAGGGTTACCCACAAAGGATGAGACTATAAAGAAGACTCAAAACTCTTCAAATATGTCGATTCCAAGTATAAATTAAGTCTTCTGCCTTGAATGCGGTTTTTAAATGGATTATATATTGATTTTGAAAAGAAAGAAAGAAGTTCATAGTTGCAGGAAACCATGAATGTACAGGATAAATTTCGTACAGTCGTCTCTGCAGTCTTAACCTTTATGGGCAACCCTGTAGATCATTTTCTATTTTTCTCTTTTCACCCCGTCAAGAGTAAACATTCGAATATTTAAAACGAAAGTATATACCATGGGAACGGATTTAATGAATTTGAGCTAGGTCTAGAGACGATTCAATCGCGTACCTTGAATCGGTGATTCAGGATTTTTCCATAATCTACAAGTTTAGAATTAGGATGAACCTAGATTAATCGGCTGTAAGCCTTTAAGTAGCTCAGCTACTTAACTCAAATCCATTAAATTAGGTTCCAGAACTAATACATCTGTGATCCAACTCATGTATATTCTATTCTCCAGGTCTACCCCTCTACAGGTGATGGTTCAGCATCCTCTAGGAGCTAGTGTTCAAGGACTCAAACCCGGGGACCAACTTCACTTTGTTGGAAGGTTACAAGGAGTCATTGCAGGCAATGGTCCTAGAGTTAGTTTAATTTCCATACTCGAGAAATAGTTTATGATTTTAAAAAAATATTCTACCTTCATCCTATCCTACATCCTATCCTACCTCTATCCTATCCTACCTTCATCCTATCCTACCTTTATCCAATCCTACCTTCCTACCTCCATCTAATCATACCTCCATTCTATCATACCGAAAATAAATTGTAAGTTTGCAAAAATATAGAAAATTGTAAAGATGCATAAAACATAATTTCTAGCTCACATCTGTAGTAATATCAATAAACTCTAAATTATTAATTTATTTGTAAAATTAACTAGAACATAAAATGACAATAAATTGTAGATTCTTCTAATAAATCAAAGAAGAAAAAATAAGAGTTACTTTTAATATTGCCATTAACAACTAAAGTTCACCCAAAGAAAGGCCTTCACATAAAAGGTGTCCCGCGAAACATGACAGTATGTGCAGCATCATGACGAATTTTGAAAGCCGTCTTTTCATCTTCGAATTTATTCGAGGCATCAAGTCGTCAACCTTCTTTCACATGTATGACTCTTGAAATAATACCCACAATATTCTCCAGTCCTGGCATTTCCAAAAAGATATGTAGAATTTCGTTCACATTTCAATTTTATTAAATAATACCAGAATTGTCATCTGTCGAAATCTGAACAAAATTCTTTATATCTCGATGGAAAAATTGAACGCACAAAAAAAGGCAGACCACATTTATGAAATGCCATGACTAGGGGTATCTTGTGACTTTGTTTTACTTCTATAATTTGGTTTACGAATAAATGCCGTAAATTTGTTTAAAGAGCAAAGACGACCTTCAAGTTGTCTTGCAACTGTCACGGTATCGTGGGTCCCCCTGTAGGTTTTACAAACAAAAATCTTACCTTTTAAAATCCTTTTTTGTTTATATACTTAAGGTTACTTTTTTTACATGATGTATAAAAATAAATACAAATTGCATTACAAGAGATTGTTAAGATATTTATGAAGTCTGATGGCTGTCTAAATCTTCTCAAAAACTGAGTTTTAGTTTTCTGTCGTCTTTTGTTTAAATAATAATGACGAATGTCGTGGTGAAGACGACATAGACTGAAAATCTATAAACTTTTGTGGAAGGAGTGGAAGAGGAAGAAGTAGAATCATTATCATTTGATCTGTCATATTTGATACCTGTCACTTTATTAAAATATCATAAAAATCCCTTTATTATACAGTGAAACCCTTCATAACGAATACATCGAAAGAATTCATCAAATGTCGTATTCTTCCCTTTCTGATAATGGAATGTTGCAGATATTAAGTTTTTTAATTAAATTATTATGTGGAACTCTTTAAAACTATTCCCGCATATTCATGGCTATTTATTTATTTTCGCAAATACTGAAATTTACGTAATATAGTATAAAACTCATTGAAAAATTGTCAAGACTACATTTGATAAATTCTTCCGATGTATTCGTTATTATAAGGGTTTCACTGTAGCAGAAATAAATAGGAAGATAAATAATTATAGATACAATACTGAAACTTTAATTTATGCATTTACTAACTATACTTTATTTTGAGATTCTTGATTACAGACCAAGTTGTAAAGTGTTATTTTTTCATTTATTTTACTACCTTTAGCTCTATAGATTGCGTCTATTGCACATCAATTCTTAGTTTTCTTTTCTGGACTTTATAAGTATGGACGGTAACTTTTCAAACTTTTAAACGTCAATCATAACACTCCCATTATTGCAGCAAATACTTTTTTAGATTTTCGAGAAAAATATTTAACGTCAATTAAGAACACACTGGACGATATTGATCTTTCATTTTTTTCTGCAATTTGAAGAACATTTTAGATATAAACACACGAAGTTATCCGCCCTCGATGATCAGATAAAAGGGTACCGTTGTAAATCGGACATATCCCTGGTTGCATAGAGTTGCTCACATAAATATTACGACACGAAAGCTAAACCATTATTGATAGTTTTTCATAAGAAATTTTGGCGAATTAGAAATAACATCCTCAGTCCCATTAAATTACACTAATGTCGCCTATCGAGTATATTTGGCGAAAAAATCATTTTTCCAGCATTTACAGCTTCCAGGGATCAGAAACCAGTCGTAGTACAACCTAAACATATCAATATTTTATTCAATTGAACAAAATGGAAACTATTCCAATTTTTATTTTAAATTCAAAGAATAACTTTCGGAATATTCAAATTTCTGGATTTTCATCATAAAAGAAATTTCGTATGCGCCGCGCCATATTACATTTTTACACAAATGAAAAACTAACAAAATATCACTGTTGGGCCTTTGGACATGAGTTTTTACCTGACATGAAAACAACCAAGTTCATCATATCCATCACAATTCTCTGTCTCAGCTCCCACAAATCCAGCTCTCTTCTGTAGATACTGGTTATAATCTAAAATAAAAGTCATCTTCTGTAGATACTGGTTGTAATCTAGAATAAAAGTCGTCTTCTATAGATACTGTTGTTTGTAATCTAGAATAAAAGTCTTCTTCTATAGATACTGGTTGTAATCTAGAATAAAAGTCATCTTCTGTAGATACTGGTTGTAATCTAGAATAAAAGTCGTCTTCTATAGATACTGGTTGTAATCTAGAATAAAAGTCGTCTTCTATAGATACTGGTTGTAATCTAGAATAAAAGTCATCTTCTGTAGATATTGTTTGTAATCTAGAATAAAAGTCTTCTTCTATAGATACTGGTTGTAATCTAGAATAAAAGTCATCTTCTGTAGATACTCCTTGTAATCTAGAATAAAAGTCGTCTTCTATAGATACTGGTTGTAATCTAGAATAAAAGTCATCTTCTGTAGATACTGGTTGTAATCTAGAATAAAAGTCGTCTTCTATAGATATTGTTTGTAATCTAGAATAAAAGTCTTCTTCTGTAGATACTGGTTGTAATCTAGAATAAAAGTCTTCTTCTGTAGATATTGGTTGTAATCTAGAATAAAAGTCATCTTCTGTAGATACTCCTTGTAATCTATAATAAAAGTCAAGATACTGGTTGTAATCTAGAATAAAAGTCAGTATCTTCAAATATTTACTGCCACAGAATAAATCATTATGGTTTAAACTCTTTTTTGTCGTCTTCCCCATAAAATAATTAAAATAAAAATTAAATTTCTTTCTTATTGTTAAAGGTCATCTTCTACAATTCTTTGTCACCACAATGTCAATGTGTCTATGGAGACCCTCAAAGGACAAAAATATAGACAAATAGACAATAAAAGACATATGTCAAATGTTGTAAAAGTATAAATCGTGAAAAAAAACATCGTTTTCTCTAATTCCTAATTCACATCTTTATTTGATACTTGGTACAGCCCAAGAATTGAGCCAATATTGAGCAAATATCATGTCGCACATCATGCATGGCTCATGGATTTTTTACCTTTGGGTGGTTCTCCATCAATAGGGCTCCTGCCAGGTATAGGTTGTTCACCACTTAATAATAAAATCATAAAAATAGAAATTTACATTTGAAGATAGAAAGTGAAGTTAAATAGAGGCGTATCCGATTCAAAATAGTGCCTTGAAACATTTATTTGGTCAATAATGAGGAAGATATCAACGTTTTTTCAAGCTTTAAAAGGGTTTGTTTCTCACAATATATCACTTAATCTTGATCATCCACAGGATACCGTTGTGAATTTGACATGCCACACTTGATTTAAAAAGTCTTAAAGCTTCATTCTTATTACAGTATTACTACTTCGCTATCTTCTCTGTAGTTTTAAGTGAAAGAAAATATATTAAGTTGCATTATTTTTAATGTTAAATTTTATAACCTGTTTTTTATCAAAACTTATTAAAAAGAATCAATTTTGAAAATAAAACAAAATATAAAACAACAAAAAATGTTACCTGGGAAAATATGCATCGGGATAATATATTTCCGAGACTAGCAGAGACACCCAGCGGGGTGATGCTAAACAACTTCCTTCCAGAAACTCACACTTCGTGCTCAAGCACTTGACCACCTCGACAGTCTGGGTGAAGTAACCCTCGTAGGGGATCTGTACTACATACCTCCACCCACCCTGCAGTATTATTATTATTATTATTATTTATAAAAATAATATCAACCTGATAATTTTTAGCAAAGACTGGAGTAACATACTCCACTGCAGACGGGCATGGAGTCATTGGTTCTTCAAGGGAGTTGATCATACTAAATATTTAAGCTATTGGTAATTATTAAAGCAAAAAAATGGCAGACCACAGTTGGGAAATGGCTGGAATAGGGCAATTTTCTAATTGTTACATAGAAAATATCGATAAAATTAGGTTGCTTGGAATAAATGCCTCAAACTTAATATTTTTAAGGTCAAAGACAACTTTGAAGTCTTAAATAAGTTAATATTATTCCAGTTTATTTAGAATAGCACTTCATATTTATCACTATCAGTGATGTTATTCTAAAGTATGATATTTCTTTCAGCACTAAAGAAACGGATTACTTGCCCAAAACTCTAACTTTCTAATCCCTATATCTTTGGAACATGATGATTGATGTCGTAGATCTTTAATATTTAAAAGTATCAAATATAATTAAAGGTTTATACCATCAGTTTGCAAAGATATAGGGATCTTAATATTAGAGGTTGATGCAAGCATAATTAATTCTTTTGTCTCTAACTTTAAAAATAGTTTATTTGAATAAGATTAAGATTATTACCTTGCCGAATCTTTTAAATCGGAGTCATCTATCCGATCATCTGCCTCATCTTTACAAAAAAACATTTAGCGAATTCCAAGGCACTTTGGTTCCAGGTAGAATTATATTAAATTGGTCGTTGTTATTGAATAATTTTTAAAAAAGCCGATTCTCAAAACCACCCCTCCAAAATAAACAATTTATGAAGATTTTAAAGATTGAATTTGCGCCCTTGCTGAACAAATATTCACCGTAAACACGTCCAATAAGACTCAATTGAATCCTAACAAGTTTCTCTACAAAACTGCATTCTCAGCTCAACTACAATGTCTAACCAGACACTTCCTTTAAGGGCTTTATAGAACAAGAGAGACAAGACCAAATTCACAGCGGTCCCTTGAAACCTTTATCTAACCAAAAGTGTCGTTTTTCTACCTCAAAGGGACTGCAAAGGAAAAATGAAAGGGGGTCACGTGATTTCCGTTTGTATCACGTACAATACTGCACTGCCATTGGCTGAAGTTTTGGCGACGTAATATGAACTATACGGATTATGTGTAATAATATTATCAATTATATCTATTAAAAAAGAAAAAGAAAAAATCAAAAATATAATAGGAGCAAACCTGTGATTCTCAAGCTCCTGTGGGATATAATCGTTTCCAAATTTGTTGCGTATTTGTTGAAAATGATCTGTTTAAACCTACTATTTTTATACAAAATTGTATATATATGAATTCCGTATAAATTTGACACATTTTTATATAAATTTTTTGGGACAGAAACATCAGATAGATGTCTTATAGATCTCAATCAACTCCTGAGATTCTAAGGTTTCATCCTATACCCCCTTTCATTTTGCCTTTACAGTCCCTTTAAAAAGTATTCTCACACATTTTTTCCTTGCTTCTGTAGCAAGAAATCCCAAGTCACTTTCATGGAGAAACCACCAAGATCAAAGATATCTCTTTTATTCTTGATCAGACCGTTGTGAATCGGATATGCAACTCTAAAAACTGATGGTCACTTGAAACTTTGTCTAAAGTCCCTATGGTCGTCTTTTAAGTCTATTCCATTTGAAGTGCTCCCGCCCCCCCCCCCCTCCTGTATTATTAATTTTCCTAAAATTATCCCACCTTTTTTATCTCCTTTAAGAACATTGAAGAGCATACAGAAGACTCCGAAACTGTTATCACACCAGCCTGCTCTACCCTGTCTTAATAACAATACAGAATACAGTCTGTTCTACCCTGTCTTAATAACAATATAGAATACAGTCTGCTCTACCCTGTCTTATAACAATACAGAATACAGTGTCTGCTCTACCCTGTCTTATAACAATACAGAATACAGTCTGCTCTACCCTGTCTTAATAACTATACAGAATACAGTGTCTGCTCTACCCTGTCTTAGTAACAATACAGAATACAGTCTGCTCTACCCTGTCCTAATAACAATACAGAATACAGCCTGCTCAACCCTGTCTTAATAACAATACAGAATACTGTATGCTCTACCCTGTCTTAATAACAATACAGAATACAGTCTGTTCTACCCTGTCTTAATAACTATACAGAATACAGTCTGCACTACCCTATCTTAATAACAATACAGAATACAGTCTGTTATACCCTGTCTTAATAACTATACAGCAGAATACAGTCTGCTCTACCCTGTTTTAATAACAATACAGAATACAGTATGCTCTACCCTGTCTTAATAACAATACAGAATACAGTCTGCTCTACCCTGTCTTAATAACAAAACAGAATGCAGTCTGATCTACCCTGTCTTAATAACAATACAGATTACAGTCTGCTCACCCTGTCTTTATAGCGCAATACAGAATACAGTCTGCTCTACCCTGTCTTAATAACAATACAGAATACAGTCTACTCTACCCTGTCTTAATAACAATACAGAATACAGTCTACTCTACCCTGTCTTAAAATAATACAGAATACAGTCTGCTCACCCTGTCTTTATAGCAATACAGAATACAGTCTGCTCTACCCTGTTTTAATAACAATACAGAATACAGTCTTCTCTACCCTGTCATAATAACAATACAGAATACAGTCTGCTCTACCCTGTCTTATAACAATACAGAATACAGTCATCTTAATTCTCTAATTTAACAAATAAATGTGGAAACTTAGATTCTAGAAATAATTCAGCAGTTAATTTGGTCTTCATAAGATTATTTTTTTTCCCCTGATTTATTTTGTAAGTTATGAAAATTAGTTTTGTTTTGAATTGTGGATGAAACTCAAAAACGGGACAATTATTCCAATTCAGTATATAATGGAATGACATCGTCTTGATAACGGTCAAGGGTAATATAAAAGAACTCCTTTAATAATTTTGATTTCAGAAAATAATTTAATGATGGGAATTGTTGTCCTCTTCAAGCTTAATAATATGTTGGTTACAGTTTTTGTTATCGACTACTTTACTTTCCATATGGGCCAGTATACTAATAACCTAATCGTTCAATTTGTGCCCATTTCTAATACTCTATGTTAAAAATGGTCCAAGTTTTGTGTTAGCCCTTTATTGCATATTTGTATGTAGTTCTAAGTATTTGGAACAGCTTTTATAGTAATTATTTTCATCGTATTCAGTATATTTTATACCTTCCCACTCCATTAAAAATATCTCTAGATCCAACTTGCTCTTGCTCTAGCTGCTCTTGTTCTTCATGTCCTTGGTTTAGCTTATGTTGTTCTTTATGTACTTGATTTAGCCCATCTTGTTCTTTATGTTTTTGGTTTAGCTCATCTTGTTCTTTATGTTCTTGATGTTCTTGGTCTAACTCCTCTTGTTGATCTTGTTCTTGTTCTTTATCAATACCACTTCCGAGTGCTCGCTTTTGTCTAAGAAAAAAAATGTATTGTTAGCAGTGTAATCACATGTAAAATATTGAATTCTACAGAGTGAGCCAAAAAAGGGTGAATCGCGAGATCTTGCATATAATAAAGCAATTTTTTGGTATTCTCATTTTCGACTAATATGTCTGAAATTTTTGATTTCTTTTCACTCTTCACCCTTTTTTTTTGACTCACCCTGTATGTTCTTATGTGATTAGAAACCCACATAAATATTTTTAGTAATAATTGCATAATATCATGAGGGTTGAACATTTATGAATTTATTGTGCGACTTTTGTATCATCCTACAGTGATAACAAGAAAACTATGGAATATAATCGAAGATGACATTATAGCAATACTTAAGCGTTTTTATGTTGTTCCAAAGCAAATAGTCTAACTAGACACTTATAAAACCACTGATGAAGTAAAATGGGTCTGTTTACACTGCACAATTTCTGTGTCTCATGCTCATTATACTTTTTAAAGTTATAACTTGATTCTAAAAGTCGTCTTTCTATTTCAGAGTTTTCTGGTTATCATTGTACGATAAAATGGAATAAAAGTTTTGTTTCAACCAATTTCTGAACTTCCTTTGAGAGAAATTATCTGATCCAGGCCTACCTAGTTCAAACCCTTTTCACTCATTCATAAATTTCAAACTCCGGATGTATTATTAAATATATTCTAGTGAATTTTTCGCAAAGCTAAAATTCTTTTTCTGTGCATACTTTGACCCCCACCTGGTAAGGATATCAAGGCTCCTCCGAACCCTCCTTCTATCCTCCGATTCCTGGTTCTCCGTATGCCTCCGAAATCTTTCCTCTGAGAACTGAGATAAGCGACGATATAAAAATTAGTTCAATTAAAGCATTAAAATGCGATGTCTATCTTTTCTGGGCACGGAATTTCGGTTCGTTTCTAATATATATTTTTTGTTGCCACAAACTCTAATTTTCTAAATCCTATTTCTTATATATTTGCATCCTAATGGTGTAAAGCTTTGATATGTCAAAATTAAATTATTTGATCTAACAGAATTTTTTGTTTACGACGAGTTAAAGAATTATATAATTAGATTTTGTGGCCAAATCTCAATTCTAAAGTTTACAGATCTTCCTCTATATTTTATTTTTTAGAAAAATTGTTAACCAAATCATACTTCTTTCCTAATTTGAATTCTAGGCGGAGGGTGGNACAGATAAGAAACAAATCTTGACTCAGATTTCTAAAACCCTAACTAAACCATTGAAAAGGGTAGGGACTCGTACTTTGAACTCCTACAAGGTTATTCACAAATAATGAGACTTAGAATCTTTGATCAATGGGTAACATAAACGGTGAAAGGGCCAGTTAGCGTATTATAAATGACCCTCTTTGCAAAGATGGCAAAGCTTGAATGACAACGGTACCCTTGTGACACTTATCTGATAAAAAATGTTCAAGATCTTGTCGATTTTCTAGGTTTAAAAGAGTTTAATTCTGATAATTCCTAGACGATTTCATGCACTAGAAAGGCGTGTGTCACTATTTGCTGAGAAATCACAATTGAAAATATTCAGTTTTAAAAATGATAAACATGGATATCTAAGCAATACCATCTTTGCATGGATGGTCACTCGACGCTGACAATCCCTGTATACAACAGCAATCTTTAAATCGTGTCTGAGAATCGATAGCATTTCAGAAAATCTTCCCGGCCCCCACTCCTTCCTGTACAAAAAGTAACCTCAGTACGTGGGGGGAGGGGGGGGGGAGATCTGTAGTTTTCATATTCGTTCAGACCCCGTCGTTTTTTTTTCCACGAAAGAGGATATTTTCTGTGCTAGCCGCAGGGCTTTACATTGTATTTTTAGAGAGAAACAGGAAGATATCTCCATCATCAAGGCTTACAGAATTTTTCATTGCACTGTTTAAAAACTTGTTTAAAAACTTATTTATATTCGTCCCTCGAGGTTTGGAGTTGGTTGAGAGTTGAATATTGCTGGATTATACAGGATATGAGAATCCTGGTATCTGGCAACCTAAAAAAAGTAAAATAAAATATGGATAAAGAAAAAATGTGGAATGATTGTCGTCTTTGGTACTTTCTTTTAATTAAAAACATATCAGAGGGTGGCAATGTACGTTAGATTGAGTAAAGATTGTGCAGGGTCAAGAACGAAAGAGAAATCTGATATAGCTACAAATGGTAGCAACAAGGAGAATTGAATAGAAGGAGGGGGCGATAGGGTGTCCGTACACTTTGCTGTGACGTTTCATATAACAATAAATGTAAGCCAATTATTTGCATTTTTGAAGTCATAACAGAATTTCTAGGTTATAAATTATAATTTGATAATACTTTCTGCAGATTTCCACCAAACATTTTTGCGGATATTTTTTATTGCATTCTTTGTTTTTTAAACAAACCCTTTAATTACCTTGGGAAGCGTATCATCTGCTTTAAGGACTGGTAAAGTTTTACTAAAGAAATCCAAGGTTTTATTCTTGATCAACTCGAATGGGTAGGACACTCCGAGTATATTTTGACCTTAAAATAATAATATTGAAAGGAATCTTTTTTACTTTTGAATTTTTTTTTAATCATTAGTTTTCTGTTAATTTTTATTTTACTTTGTCCATTTCTTCTACTTTTCACTCTCTTAATCTTTTCTTATTTATTTAAACTTCTGTACTTCAGTGTATTGTAACGTGTTGTACTTTATTGTAGTGTACTAGGCTTTCAGGGCGCTCGCGCCTATCTTCAATTTAATTGTGAACATTTTCTCTTTGTATATATTGTAAAAATATTTCGTGGATTTTCAAACTTAAATGAAAATCGAATTTTGTTGGAGGCTATTTTTTGAAATTTTGATGGTAAATAAACCTGTACTGTACTGTACTGTACTGTACTGTACTGTACTGTGCTGTACTGTACTGTACTGTACTGTACTGTACTGTAATGTACTGTACTGTACTGTACTGTAATGTACTGTACTGTACTGTACTGTACTGTAATGTACTGTACTTTACTGACTGTACTCTACTGTACTTTAATGTTATGTACTTTACTGTTCTGTACTGCACTGTACTCTTCTGTACTTTATTTTACGGTACTGTACTGTATTGCACTACACAGTTCTGTACTGTATTGTCCTGTAATGTACTTATTGGATTGCATTGTATTGTACTTTTTTGTTTATGCAGGCCCGTAGCCAGGGGGGGTGCAAGGGTGCAGGTGCACCCACCTTTCTTCTGAAAGAGGGGTGCAATGACGAATTTGCACCCCCCCCCTAGTCCCATATAAAAGAAATTGTTTCTAAAATCTAGTTATAAATTATATAGCCCGAGTAAGAATTGATTTCCAAACCAAATTATATTCTATTTGTGCTTTATGCTCATTAAAAGTGTGACGGAGTTTTTGTGTACTCTCTCTCAACTCATCCCCTGAGTCATGTCTCTCCTGTGACCTATCGCAGGCTAACTAACAGTTGATCAGTACACTCTGTTGATTAAATATAACACAACATCAAAATTTACTCATATTCATTTAATAGTTGTTTAAGTCTAATTAAAACAGTATGATTTATTAATTATATGCATAGAGTCCCATGTAAATGAAATGGTAATCTCCTGTACACTTTCAGACTTTTAGCCCCCCCCCCTTGACCGGTGTGCTATGTTTTATGAGTCTGTGTTTTTTTTGAGGCATTTCCGTGGTGAGGGGTTTCCCCCATAACCCTTGAAAAGCTTTTTTTAAATGAATAAGAAATAAGATCATATCATTTTCATATTGCAAAGTCAAAGTAATAAATGATTACTTGACTCTGTTAGTTAAGCAGTACTCTCTTAACAGCTCAAATACACTTGTTAAAAAGGTTAGCCTTTATAGTGTGCATTGACAATGTAATAAAAACAACCATATACCACTGTAAAACCAAACCAAACATTGTTTAAAAAAATCATTAAAACCCCCCCAAAAATTTTTTTCGCCTGGTTGCACCCCCCCTGGTCAAATCCTGGCTACGGGCCTGTTTATGTATTTAAAAATCTTCTTTGTTAGTTTGAACTGCTACACTGTATTGCACTGTACTGCACTGCACTCTACTGTACTGTATCATACTGTACCTATTGGATTAACTGGTAGATATCCTTTGTTTAGATCTCCGCATAAATTGTCTAATGTCTGCTCAACCTTCCACCAATCAATTAATCACAATTTTTAAATAAAACAAGATTTAATTTATTTTAATGTTAATTTGAATTGCCAAAAATTAAAATAAAAAAATGTAAACAGTTGACCACGATATGATTGATTTCGTCAATTGATAAACGATCAAACGGTCTTCGAAAATATTTAGTTAATTGATTAAAATTTAATTGATCTGCCTTTGATCCGTCAGCTCCAGGACATTTTACTTGGGTTTGAAGATAGGGTGGTTTCCTTTTTATATTCAAACATATTTTAATATACTTAATATTAATATAATATTATAAATTATAAAAACTAATCAATTTAAACGCTAAACTAATGAAAGGGACTGAAAAATACCCCAAAAAGAAGGCAATGTCCATTCACACTTTGAAACCTTTATCTGATCAATAATGTGGAAGATATGGTCGTTTTTCCAATATTAAAAAGTTAAGCATGATTTCTACATGTTTTCTTACAGTAGAGATGCGCAAGTTACTTTTTAGAGAAACCAAAATTAATAAAAAATTCAGAGGCTGAATTTAAAGAATTTGAGCCGCGGCTTGAATTTTAGACGCGGCTCAATATGGTTGGTTCCACTTAAAATTGTATTCAATGTTTCAAGATTTGAGTCGGCGCTCAATTAAAACCAGTCTTTGGCGGATTTGAGACGCGGCTCAAATTCATTAAATTCAGGACTTAGTCTGTTCATTTCTACCGGCAGAAGGGCCAACCTTAAATGTTAGATACCCTATTTGTGTCAGAGATAGACATCTTTTCCAGATTTAGTGCGCTAAATCCCATTTAAAAGTTCATTTGCTATATAGGTAAGGACAAGGTTATAATGCAAGGAAAGTTATTTCAGAGGTGTACGTATCTTTTGTACTGCATTGATCCAGCTTTCACATCAAAAATCAACAACATGTTCTGGTCATAGAAAACTATTATGTGAATTATTAAAATTATCAAAATGTAATGCTTTTAACCTCTTCGGATACTAAACGAACACTTATGCATCTATTCTTATTTACAAATTCCACCCAGAGAGAACTGGTTTCAATATGTACGCAGAGTATACGCGACTGCAATTAACTTTCCTCGCAATATAACCTTCGGTATGGCTATCCCATTTAATTATTTTTTCACCCTTAGCTCACACCGTTTACCCACAACTATAAATATGTTTATTTACATTATTTTGGAACCCTTGTGTCAGAAAAAAATGAAGGTCTTCATCAAAATTTTCCATAGATAAATAAATAAACATAGATAGCTTATGTACGCAAAATCACCAAGAATTGTACAGTCCGCGAACTCATATTTCTAGGGGTCTAAGTGTACTTCAATGATAAGCGGGGTGGTTTGGTGTTTTAATGAATTTCATAATAGAGTGCAAAATAACTCCGGGAGTAGAACTATTTGAACAACAATATTTCACTGAGCAATATATCATATTGACGAGAACTGAAGAAGGACATGAGAAGGACTAAACTAACTTAAATTTCTCTCATGTACACCACAAGTACTCAATGACATAAGAACAGCCAATGTTCACAACCGACCTAGTTAATCTATATAATAGGAATATCTTTAAAACATCTCTGTACATTTATATCTTTCAAAATAAAAAATGTCGTCTTATGTGCATTTTATCTTTATCTATGAAATTTTCCCTGAGATGAAAGTTTGTTTCTAAACTTTTGAAGCGTAAAAGATAAAGTATTTACTGCCATTAAATCAAACCATGAACAAATATTACATCCGGAAAGCCAACTTTTAATTGTCATCTGTCACACTTGATTTTATAAACAATATTTCAATTATGTAATAATATTTTCAAACATATGATATCTAACTTCATTATTATCATTATTATTATTATAATTATTTTCTAGAATATTTGTATATTTAATGATGATAGTGATGATTTTTTATATTTAATGATATGTTTAAAATGCCTGACAACTGGTGGAATTCTTGCAGGTGATTCCTAAAAATTTAAAATATTAACAGTGATAACCAGAAAACTCTAAAATAGAAACAGAGGCGTATTAAAATATTAGGGTTGTTTACAAAATCTAATAATTATACCTGGAAAGGATAGTAGCCCTGAGGATATTGTACATTACTGGTCAAAACCCCCTGACCCAGTAGCAAAACCAATATCAGCATTATCACGCGGATATTCACTTTTCCCGCCAAAATGTCAATTCTCTAATAATTTTCACTCGGAGATTTTCACTAGTTACGACAATGTTCCATTCACGCGTTTAGTTCATCATTTTCTTCTTTCTACTCTCCGTACTCTGCACCTGGAGTTTATTTCAATTCTTATTGTTTTTCGTGATCAATTCCACAGATTGTTTGATCTTAGAGTCTGAAAAAAAAAATTTAGTTTTAGTTTTCAAGTCCCTGTAGTATCTGTCAAGGTCTATGATTTTCCTGAATGACACTTTATATCTACTTTATACACATCATGGCCCACTGTACACTACACGGTATTCAAGACTAAAAATTTGCATTAACCCTTTCCTCCGAAAGACTAAAATTAGCTTTTTGCTAAAATTATTGGAAAAGCCTGAAAACAGTTTAGGCAATAACTGGAAGATTAACTTTTTTCTAATTAATGTTATTTTTCATACCACGCGCCTTTTTATTGTTGTTACCATGGTTTTTGATAAATCGACTAAGATTTCATCCAGAGATTATTTTTTTTACAGCATAATTGTTGACAATAAAAAATGAGGTTAACAAGTATTTGAATGGTATATCTTTTAAAAACGTTTGCCATGTTTTTTTTTATTTTGAACGAGAACTGTTGTTTTAACAGTTGGATTAGTTCGAAATATCGCAAAATTTGCCAGTATTCACATCTGGGACACCCTGTGCATAAAAATGTAGTTGAGGAAGGAGAAAATTAGTTTCTTGGATTAAACCCAGCTCCACCCTTTAATATGGAAATCTGCAGAGTGGAACAAAAGGGAAAATGAGGGGGGGGGGAGTTGAATTATATTAAGGGAATACTGATGTGTTCAGATTAAAAGAAAAGGGAATGGGATTAAAAGATTAAGGGAAAAAGGAAGGACTAAGATTAAGTGAAAAGGGAAGGATTAAGATTAAAGGGGTAGGTTTAAGATTAGAAGAGAAAGGAAGCTTTAAGATTAGAGGATAAAGGAAGGTTTATTTTTTTTAAAGTTAAAAATATAATTTATGGAAGAACTCATATTTTAACATTTTGAATAAGTTTATATAGCTTTTTACACTTTTATTTTTGTTCTTAAAATAAAATGAGAAGAACGTTTTTACATTAAAGTATTGGGTATTTCAGTATTCCACGTGGCAAATTCTCAAAAGCGCAATTTTCTAAGTGGCTTCCCAAAGGTTAGGTTAGGCTTTCGGAGGCGCTGTACTGCTGGCTACAATGGGGGGCCGAGCGCTGCAGACAGGATGGGATTTGGGAAGTTGCCGTTTGGTAAATTGCACATTTGGGCAATTGCCACCTGAGAAAACACCCTTGGGGAAAGTACCAAACATCCTTGTTTTAAATTTAAAGAATATCAGGAATAAATTAATAGTTAGGTAGCTCTAAAGCTTAAGTTGGCGATAACAAGTATCACCTTCATCATTCCACATGTTGCTGAAATTATTTTATGACGCATTTAACCCTGCTGAACTGTAAATTTGATAAGAATCTGAACTTTACGCAATTTCCGTTCTCTCGAGGGTCATTGCTTGTCTGTTTTGCGTCATTTCTTAATTTTGATAATTTCTCATTGTTTTATTGATAACTAGCTTGGAATCCCGGCTTCGCCTGGAAACTATCTTTCCCCGATAAATGTCTATATCTACTCAACATAAAACTTAAAAATCAAAACAAATGTCATACAAATAGGTCAAGGTCAAACATAAAAAATATATAAAGAAACAAATACAAACAGACTGAATATTTATATAGATATAATTATCATTCGATTTGATTTGAATATATGTAGACAAATGTATTTCATATACGATATACATTCCGCGTAGATACATGAATTAGTAACAAATGTATTTTATATATGATATACATTCCGTGTAGATACATGAATTAGTAACAAATGTATTTTATATATAATATACATTCCGTGTAGATACATGAATTAGTAACAAATGTATTTTATATGCGATATACATTCCATGTAGATACATGAATTAGTAACAAATGTGAAGAAAACAAAGAGAAAAAAGTTTAATTTCCTTTAAAAGATTAACAAATTTACCAAATTTACCAAATTGCGTTTCAAATATATGCATTTTGATGTGCTTAGAAAACAAATTAAGTGAGAAAACAGTCATTTGTTGATTGTGTATAAAAGTAGAAACCAATGATATATTTAAGTACGTCTTAAAGGGGGAATTCACAAAAAAATGTTGTTACAGCCGCTTTGGACGAGTTTTAAATCTTTAATTTTTAGGATTTTTCAAATTAGTGAGCTGGCGGGGAGAGAGGTAATAAGTGCATTAGCTAGTAAATGAGCTACAGTGTGAGTAAATAAGTGAGCTATTGAGTGAGTGAGCTAGTGAGTGAGTGAGCTAGTGAGTGAGTGAGCTGGTAAGTAAGTGAGCTAGTGACTGAGTGAGCTAGTGACTGAGTGAGCTAGTGACTGAGTGAGCTAGTGACTGAGTGAGCTAGTGACTGATTGAGCTAGTGCCTGAGTGAGCTAGTTACTGAGGGAGCTAGTGACTGAGTAAGCTAGTGATTGAGTGAGCTAGTGACTGAGTGAGCTAGTGAGTGAGTGAGCTAGTAATTGAGCTAGTGAGTGAGCTAGTAAGTGAGTGAGCTAGTGATTGAATGAGCTAGGGAGTGAGTGAGCTAGTGAGTGAGTGAGCTAGTGAGTGAGTGAGCTAGTAAGTGAGCTAGTGATTGGGCTAGTAAGTGAGTGGACTAGTAAGTGAGTGAGCTAGTGAGTGAGTGAGCTAGAGAGTGAGTGAGCTAGTGAGTGAGTGAGCTAGTGAGTGAGTGAGCTAGTAAGTGAGCTAGTGAGTGAGCTAGTGACTGAGTGAGCTAGTGACTGAGTGAGCTAGAGGGTGAGTAAGTTAGTGATTGAGTGAGCTAGTGACTAAGTGATCTAGTGAGTGAGTTAGCTAGTGACTGAGTGAGCTAGAGGGATAGTAATTAAGTGATTGATATATGAGTAAACTGGTTCCTGGGAGTGGGTTACTGATAGAGCCAGTAAGTGAGTGAGTGAGTAGAAAGTGTGTCTGGCGTTAAAGTCTGTTCACACTAAAGTATAGTTTAGCACTAGTATACTAGTATACACTATACACAAGCTGTAACAGGAGAAATCCAGGGGAAATCAACCAGGGTTAAATATTTACTTTTTTTATCAAAAATATTCACAATAAAAAGAATAAAAACCTTTTGAATAATAAAACCGTACAAGCCTACTAACAGAAATAGTTATTTTCTGATTAAATAATATTAAACCCTGAAGTCTTCTTACGTTTGAATATTAGAATTTCTTAGATTTACATAATATTTTAATTAAAAAAACAAACAAGAAAGAATTGAACAATCATGTGTGGAAAAATCGGCCGTCAAAGTTCTTGGAGTTCAAATCGTTAAGCATATCTGCAAATAATAGTTTATTATGTAATCCTCAATGCATCGCGACGTCATTGTCATCTTATGCAATTTTCAATCTTCTTGCTTGTTTTGTTTTATAAATAAGTGAACTTTTGTTTGGAATATCGTTGATCTTTAACATTTGATCTATATTTCCATACACACTTTTGGGAGGAATATTGTTGAACTTAAACATTTGATCTATATTTCCATACACACTTTTGTGAGAATATTGTTGATCTTGAAGATTTGATCTATATTTCCATACACACTTTTGTAAGGCATATCGTTGATCTTTAACATTTGATCTATATTTCCATACACACTTTTGTGAGGAATATCGTTGATCTTGAACATTTGATCTACATTTCCATAAACACTTTTGGGAGGAATATTGTTGATCTTGAACATTTGATCTATATTTCCATANATCTTTTCAGAAGTTTTAATGTATAAAAAGCGTCTTCGGACTTTTCGACAGATAGTCCCACGAATAGGAAAATAGATCGTAAGAATCTTTTCATTATAAATTTGTAAACCCTGTAATAATTATTTATCATTATTCATTTCATTTTTTTTAGGAAATAAAGAGTTTTCTGCATTATCGATTTTGATTTGAGGGTTATTCCTTGTCTATCTGTTCATCGTCAGAATCTTGTTCCTTAGCGACAACAACACTTTATTCTGTAGAAGTTTGCTTTTATAAAACATGCAAATTTGTTACCCTAGAAGAAAATATAAGGCAAAAACGATATTTTTGATTAATTTTTGCCTTATTTTAGAATAACAAATGTTCATGTTTGATAAAAGCAAACTTCACCCTTCTTAGATTGTCGGAAAACCTTTAAAAGTCTAAAAATATTTAAAGTAACTGTGTAAAACAAATATAGCTATTGCCCATCACTACCTGCAGAGTATGATCACCACGAGATATCAAAGTGGGATTAAATTAATCCGTATATCTTCAAAAGATGGAGATCCCAAGATTCTCAAGACAAAATATTTATTGCAATTTAACGCTATCAAGCAAAAAAATGTGCAAAAACAAAAAGTGCGCGAAACATGATAAATTATACATTTTTGAAAAGCTCTTACCACGGCAAATTAAAATATGCAAAAATATTTGCAAAATTTTCAGAAACTACTTGTTTATTCAAGAAAACTGAAAATGTGCAAATCCTCTTTACAGGCATCTGTGCAAAAGAACTATGGAAAATTTGCAATTGTGCAATCTTCTTTCTTTTGTTCAAAGCTTTTCAAAGAGCTATACAAAGTATAAATCCAATGACCGGAAGTAGATTTAATATAGATTTAGTCGGGTAAAGGTAAAATAAGGTATTCATGCAGTATGATGCCTGAGGACTCAGGAAGAAGGTAGCAAAACCCCGCTTTTAGCCTAAAGTGAGGGGCATGTGTTAGTGAGAAAACGTCAAAAAAAATTGAACAGCCTCAGACCAATACTTCTTGAGTTATCTCAGGGGGGGGGGTCACAGAGACCCCCAGCCGCGAATAGGGTTAAACCTAGCAAAGGAAAACTTTCTTTGACAACATTATTCTTGAAAAAATATTATATTAATGTTACAAAAACTCAATTCTATCCCAAATTAACAAAAACGACCATTCTTAACAAAAATATGCAAAAAAGACAGAAGAACTAAAATTAAGGCTTGTGTAGAATTTAAGTATAAAGTATATAATACATATCTTATACAGATTTGTACTTTTTATTCTATATATGGAGTTAGATACTAAACACAACAAGTGATGAGC